TCGTGTAATGACGGGCGGCTCTAGGACCGGAACGGGCTCTCGTGGGCGACTTGGTCTCGGAGTTGGTTGAGGAGTATCAAATTTCTTGAATTTAATGTGACCTTCCCCGAAGATGGAATTAGGCAGTCTTGGTATCACGACAGCACAGGGTTTGGTGGTCAGTGGCTCTGACCGTGGATCACCATTCACATCATTCACTGCTGGATGGTCATCGTTGACGACGTCATCATTTCCTTCTCGGTGTCCGTCGTCTGGTTTGTCGAGAAGGTTTGACGAAAATCCTGGTTCAGGCTGGACATGCTTGTTGACAGGTTTTCAGCACTTTCGGATGGTGTGTTATGGTACTATCGTCGCCTGATTTCCGGTTCTTCTTCTTACTCTTTCCGCCCTTAGAGTGGGTCTTGAGTTGTAGCCGTATGGCTGTTCCCTCGGAAGAGGAGCTGGAGTAAGGCTTTCGCGGATCTTCTCTCCAGCTTGATCTTTCGCACTGCGGGATCTCTTGGCGGAGTCAGAGCGTTCTTTCTCACCATTAGACGAGATGTAAATGGTGTCTCCAGTAGCGTACATGTCTGACTCCGATCGACGTTTCGCTGAACCTGACCTTCCCGACTTTGACGAAGACCGCGAGGAGTTTTTTGACGACGGAATTGACTTACGGGTAGTAGACTCAGCTGAAGGAGTTTCGTTTGGTGGTCTCCTTTTGACCGGAGATGGTCTCGGAACTGCGAAGACGGTCTCAGCAGTGACGGAGTCACCATAACAGACGAGACGGTTACCGCTGTTGATCGTTGACTGCTGGAGTGGGCTCGTGGAGCAATCGGCGGCAGCGAGTGTTGGTTGCTTTGAGGAATCATCGCAATGCCCATCACTGGTTGATTCGGTGGATGACATTCTTACCAGCGGTGATATTGCCGAGCGGTCGATCACCTCTTTCATCGCTTGCTTCTTCATGAGGCGAGCTTTGACCATAGCGTCTAGACGAAGCTGCGCCTCAGCGGATTCTCGACGCTCGCGAGCGAGCTCATTCATCCTCTCCTCGGCCTCTCGGAATGCTTTTTTACGGGCCTCGATTTTTCAGAACGAGCCACGGCTTCCTCCAGAGTCGGCATTGTAGACCGTGGATCATTTGGATCTATGTAATCGGTCTCTGGAATCTGATAATCGATTCCATGCTCCGACTCTGTCTCCGAATCATCTGGCAAACTCCTCTGCTTGGCCCACGATGACAACACCGGTGAATAGCGAGCGTATTCGTTCACCTCATCGACTTGACGCGTTGAATCCGGGCGGGACTCGGCTGGTTGCGTCGTCGCAGTGGTGGTCAACGTGGTTTTGAACACCTGAGGGCGCCTGCACCGTGATTAAACGGTATTCCGAATGCTGCAGGTCGGCAGACGAAATTGGAATCGCCAAATGACGATTAACGGCTAATGCAGGTGCCGGACGGATTACGTATGACGGAAGGTTGCTCTCAGGTTGTGGCGTTGGAGCAGACGGAGTCGGATGTTTGCTGTCTCGGTGCGGGAGAGCGAAATGGAGCCTCCAAACGTGGCACCATGACATTTTGGATGACTTGTCGAGGTGCTGGTGGATGAACGAGTTGCTGGTACACATGAACTGGCGGTGGCGGTATTGGAATACCGGGCGGTGGTGGCGTTCTCGCAATCATGGCTGGTCTCGGTTGCTGAGCGACCTGGGCAGCAGCGTGAACGGGCATCATGCCTGGCTGTCGCTGGTTCAATACTGCACGAAGGTGATCGACGAGCTGCTCGAGTTCTCTCGGTGCGGTCACTACGGGCGCGAGATATTGAGCCTAGGTCTGCACCTCGGACATATAATCAAGTAGATTACCGGGAGTAGTGGTCGAGTATCGGCTAAAGCAGCGAATGTGGTTGACGATGTTGTTCAGGTCCGCCTTGGCCATCATCATCCGCTGAGCGGCATCTCGAAGACGGTTTGGATGTTGGGATCCATGACGATCTAAATTAGTTATCAACAAAGCAAAATGATACAAAACATGATTAGATTACTGACTCGGTTACCAGGTAAAAAAAAAAACATTAAAACTTCAAAATTTTGCAATCTTAAGGATTTCTGATCGTTTAGAGTGGAGTGTTTTGCCGAAAAGGGGTTTTCAAAGTTTTCAAAATTCAGAATTACGTTAATTGATCTATGTGTTGTGCCGAATGAGATAATAATGAGTTCTTCGAACTCGCGTATAAGATATCAATCAATAAAGTTTTGTCTCAGAGAGACTGAAATGAAAAAGGATAAATTACCTCGGATATCGGGAAACCAAAAAAACGAAATCAAGGACAAAATTTAAAGCGTTCGGCACTGTTTCGATACGCAAAGAAAAACATAAAATAAACGAAAAGTTAACTTATACTTATAGCGAAATGGTCTCACGACACATACACAAAATAATAAAAAAACGAAATCATTAAAATCAGAAAAAGTTTTGGCATAGGGAAATAACACTGAACAAGTTAATAAAAGGCCTACGAAGGCGAAGTTTTCTTAAGTGATTCAAAAGTTTTAAAAGTTTTGCAAAGATTGCTAAATCACTAAGGGATTCACTCCACAAGTTAATTAATCAATTCGGTTTTCAAAAAACACAAGAAATAACAGAAAACGCATGTACAAATTAATAACGTGGTCAGGAAAAACGAGCACTAAAACGCAGATCGTGTTCATCGTTAGACAAATTTTCGAAGACTGGTACCGAGTCAGGAACGAAATCGGTTTCGTCGTGAAGCTCTTGACAACGAAGAAGACAAGACGAAAGAGTGGGGGACAATGCAATGGAGTCTATCCGTGCAACCTAACAAAAAGAATACGAACGAGACAAGTTTAAGCTTGTCTCGGTTGCTCTCTTATCGCTCTTACCAACGAATTTTTCGTCGTATTCGACGTTGTTTTCGTAGAATTTGCTTCGTTCTACGCAGCAATAATGTTCGTTCTCAGAGAACGAAGGCAGCAGTTTTCGTCGTTGGCTTTGTTCTGACATGAAAACTCGATGTAGTCTTTCAATTTTATCGTCGGCTGTGATTTCTAGTCAATAGGCAAAACGTATGAGAGCGAGAGAGACAGATGGAAGCATTTTATTTTTTCGTTGTTTTCTCGAACTCTTTTATGGCTAATGCCTTTTTTAGCTTCTCTTTTTATTTTTTTTCTTTTTCTACTGTTATCTTTTTTTCTCGTTGATTATTTTTTAAGAATTTGAGTTCATCGAATGAACAGCAGAATTAAAATATAAAAATTCGATGGACTCAATTATGTCACAATTTACATAATGCTTGAGGCATTGCGACATTATACAATCTTTATTGAGATAAGCCGAAAGTACAGAAGGGTTGAATCACACATAACTTACTTAGTTTCGGTCATGGTGATCTAAATTTTGTCCTTTAAGAGGAATCTGATTGATGTGGATGAGTTTACAAGATTAATTTGAATAAAAGTTATATGTAATCAAAAGATTACGAAAGTTATAAGTAAATCAGATGGTGTTGATTACTAAAAACAAAAACAAAAAATAAAACGTAAAAAGATATTGAGAACAGATAAAGTTTAGAACTTTATGTTCTCGATATGCTGGCTTATATATGTGCCAGTCTCCAGTTCCTCTAGAAGATATGAATTGGAACTGTTTTTCTTG